AGTGTGTATGCCCAGAAGTGGTATTGCTGGGTCATATGGCAGCAGACAAAACTACTTTTAATGTTAGAAGTAGGGATACTGTTTGACTTTAGGAAGGAGGACAAGGCTAACGATTAGGAAAGGGTACAAGGAGAGTGTTTCTTTATTGAGCTTGTACAGTTATGATTTGTGTATATGTTTGTTGTTCAGTCGCTAAGTTGTGTCCGGCTCTTTGCCATCCCATGGCACACCAGGCTTCCCTGTCCTTCACATCTCCCGGAGTTTGTTCAAATTCATGTCCAGGGAAGCACACCAGGCTTCCCTTGTGACTTAGCTGGTAAAGAATCCGCCTGCAATGAGGGAGACCTGGGTTGGGAAGATCCCCTGGAGAAGGGAAAGGCCACCCACTCCAGTATTCTGGCCTGGAGAATTTCACGGACTGCGTAGTCCATGGGGTTGCAAAGAGTCAGACACTACTGAGCGACTTTCACTTTTATGTTCATTCAGTTGGTGATGCTATCTAACCATCTCATCCTCTGCCTCCCTCTTGTCCTCCTGCCCTCAATCTTTCCCAGCATCTAGGTCGTTTCCAGTGAGTCAGCTCTTCATATCAGGTGGCCAAAGTATTGGAGCTTTAGCTCCAGCATCAATCCTTCCAATGAATCTTCAGAGTAGATTTCCTTTCAAATCAACTGGTTTGGTCTTCTTACAGTCCATCGGACTCTCGAGTCTTCTCCAGCACCATGATTCAAAAGCATCAGTTCTTTAGTGCTCAGCCTTCTTTATGGTCCAACTCTCACCTCTGTACATGACTACTTACCTTTCAGTATAACGTTATTTTCAAGTGATGTAATGGCTGGTTTATTACTGCCAGTTCAGTAACTGGCAGTGTTAACTTTTTTACTATGGTTTAGTTCTCTGTAATGACTAGGTCAAGGGCAATGCTGTCCAGTAGAATTTACTGTAATTATTAAAATGTTCTGTATCCACAGTGTCTAGTCCCATAGCCTCTAGCCACATGTGGCTGTTGAGTATTTGAAATATGACTGAAGAACTTATTTAAAGTTTTACTTAATTTTACTCAATTATAATTAAAATTTAAATACCTTTATTTGACTAATAGCTATTGTATTGGATATGGTAAGATATCCAGGTCTAAGGAATTGCCATGGGAATGAGTCAATGAAGGAGAATGGCAGTGAAGTTTATTTTAGTTGAATAAATCAAGAAACCGAGAGGCCAGAGTGTCAGATGAATTATGCATCTGTACACTGAAGAATGCTCAGGGCAATGGCAAGACTGGGTTGGCATTGGAGGTGGTTAGGTAGGTTCCAGAGTCTTCAAAGAAGCTTTTGGATAGAGGAGGGGGAAAGTGTAATGGACCAAGAAAGAATGCTCTTTCCCCTATGGGTTGTCAAAGATACTTGAATAGAAATGTTTCTGAAGCACAACATATAGTAATTAAGAGTTATTGAAAGAGCAGGTTTTAAAAAAGAAGTGGTCAGGAGCAGTAGCAGTGCTTCAGAGCAGTGTTCTGTGACCAAACTCTAGTGTAGTAAAGAGGTCTTGAAGAGCTGTGAGAGTGAAACTTGGTGCAGAGGTGGGAAAGGAAGCTAATTGCCAGGAGTAGGTGAAAGGTTAAGGTGTGGGCAGTTTTCTAAAAGCTCCTCCTGGTGAAAGCAGTAAGAAAGGACGTGGTAGATAGTGAGAAATGTGGGATTTTGCTTTTATTTAGCAAATGGTAGGAATTGATCTTGAGGAGCGACACGAAAAAAGTGAAATTGCTTGATGTTTTCTTTCAGTGCATAGAAGAAATCTTGAGGCTGAGTGCCTACAGGGTCTCTGTGAGGTGAGGAACAAGTGGCTGGGTGATGACAGTAGAAATGTTGATTGGGCCAGATTTTGAACCATCTTGAATGGCATTATGATGAATTGTTGGCTTTATCTCATAGTTCATGGAGAGCCAAGGAAAGTTTTTAATATCTGAGGCTCCTGTCAGAGTTTGTGCTTTATAAATACTATTCTGGCAATAGCAAGGACTGTGGACTAAAGGTAGCCAGACTGAAGACAAGATTGCTTCATCAAGCAAGAAGTGATGAAAACCTGAAATAGGGCAGTAACAGTTCATAGAATGAAGAAGAGTGGGGAGAATTTGAGATTATAGTTCGGAAGTGGAATGAGCACAACTTATGGTGATGGAATAAGGGAGAACAAATGTTAGAACCTAGAGATTTCTGAGTTGACTAGTTAACTGGTGAATTTATATTAAGGAGCCAAAAAAAAAGAACCCAAGTTTTGGATGGTGGTCAGTTATTATATCTCAACAGTTGAGATATAATTCACCCATTTAAAGTAGACATTTCAGTGTTTTTGGTGTGTTTACAGAGCTGTGCAACTACCATTACTGTTTCAGTTTTAGAATCTTTTTCATCACCCTGTAAGGAAACTCATACCTATTAGCAGTTACTCCTCATTTTACCCCACCTCCTTTTCTTACCTCCCACCCCTGGGCAACCATTAACCTACTCTTAGTCTCTGTGAATTTGCCTGTTTTGGACATTTCATATAAATAGAGTCATACAATATGTCCTTTGTGACTAGCTTCTTTTATTCAGCATATATTCAAAGTTCATCCAAGTAGAGATCACTTTTTGCCTTGTTTTATATGTATTCATCTCTTTACATGTTCTGTCTCCTCTACCAGAGGCCCTATTGCTATATATTCTAAGGCTGTATCAATTAATAGTATATATGCTGTATTTAGTTATGACTTAGCAGATATTTGCTGCATCATAAAGTTAGAAGATTAACTCCACTAACCATGAAATTAATTTAACCTGAATGAGTTGCTCCCACACATGCTTACCCCCTAAGGCGTGTCTTTATTTGCTATCATAGAATAAGTAGGTACTATGCCAAATGGTTCTGCCGTTAACTCTGTATGACCTGGGTAAGTCATTATATTCTGGATACACTTTCTATATCTGAAAATAGTTATAAAAATCCTTACTCAATATAGTACAGAGGAATAACTAAGGTAATTCAGGTTGATGGGATTTGGATAGAATTGGGGTTCATCCAGAGAGTCTCTGAGAAGAAATGAACACAGGTTTCCTCTCCTATCTGAAAGATGAGTATTCTTATGAAACCTTTCGTAAGGCAAAATGGGGAAAGCAGAAAAACAATTACCTTAGGATGCTGCTTCCTAATGGATACACAAAACAAATAGAGATAAAGCCCAGATGCTCATAGATACAGTTCAAAGCTATGACAACTTGATGCTGAGATGCTGAGTTTAGTTCCTGAGGAGGGAGCTTGGCGGTTCTACTGTTACTGTTTGTGGTGTGCGCTGCCTCTGTAATGGCTTAGGGCAAAACAAATGTTGAATGCTATTTTTGCTTTTCACCTATTTTCTGGAAAATTTCTGGATTTCTTTTGGTAAGTGAAAACAGGTACAGCCTTACAATGGGGTTACGCACAATAAACCTATTGTAAGTCAAAAATGCATTTAATACACCTAATGTACTGAATACCATGGCTTAGGCTCACCTACCTTAAACATGTTCAGAACACTTATGTGAGCCTATAGTTGGGCAAAATCATCTCACACAAAGCCTGTTTTATAATATAGTGTTGAATAGCCCCAGCATTCTTGCCTGGAGAATCCCATGGACAGAGGAGCCCGGTGGGCTACAGCTCATGGAGTTGCAGAGTCAAGCGTGACTAGCACACACACACACACACGTTGAATAGCTCATTAATTTATTGAATACCATACTGAAAACCAGAGGGTTAATGGGATACAGAATGGTTGTCACTGTTCGTTGTTCACCCTTGTGATCACATGACTGACTGGGAGCTGCTGCCCAGCATCGTGACAGAGTATCACCACATATCGCTAGCTCAGGAAAAGATCAAAATTCAGAATATGATTTCTGCTGAGTATTATGGCTTTCACACCTGTAAAGTTGAAAAGTCCTAAGTCAAACTGTCATAAGTTGGGGATGATCCATACTAAAAGTAAAGTGGTATGGGTGACCTGTATATGTTTGACTCTATTACCTGAAACTCCTGGGATAGGAGTAGCCTTTTTTCACAAGATTTGGAATTTTGGCCCCTTAAGTCCTTCCAATCCCATTTTACAAGGTCCTAGTTTTGTTGTGGTATACTGCTGCTTTTGTCACCAATGTGGGGCGTTGTGCTCGTGTCATGTTCTCTAGCTATTCTGTTGGAATGCTTAGGACCCTTATTTCTTAAGGACACTGACCAGTAGGCTCCCTGTTTTTCATAGCTTTATGTTGTTTTAATATGGCCACATATAGTTGAATACAAAAAAAGAAAAAGCTTAAAACCCACTCCATCCACCTTCCTGAAACAAGGAACTTATAACTGCAGGCCTATCTTACCCCTCTCTTTTGGGGAATTGTTCATGCTTTTATTTAAAAAACACATACTGAGTGTGTACTTGAATGCCATGTCTCAAAATAAAATAGTCCTTAGATCTCATAGCATTTCAATGGGAGAAGGCAGACATAGATGATCACAGTATGATATGGAAGTGCAGTTGCAGAGCACACCTGGAAGAAGCCATTGGGACGGGGTTTTGAAGCAATTGTCACCTGGTGTTTCTTTACTAATAAATATAACACAGAAGCAGTCTGATGGAAAGCACTAGTGTTCTTTAGAACAACTGAGGTGACTCCCATTTTAGAGAGCAATCTGAAACTCAGAAAGGGTCAATGGCTGGGTTTTAAATAGATTCTAGACTTAGATTCTATGTTTATCCCCTCATCCTCACCATATCCATGCCCCTTAAGCAAGAGTAGAAAGTACCCTTGCAGACTACTACAGTGCTCTGCCACCCCCTTCTCTTTAAGCGAAGCTGGAGTCTCAGGTTCTCTTTTCCGTGTCTAGCCTGCTTCCAGTGTCATGGGTGCATTGAGCATTCCAGGGCTGTAGCAGTAGCGAATATTGCTGATGTCATTGTTTGCCTTATTGGGATTTTGCTCTTTGTTTCACAGGGAGCTGTGATTGGTATAGACGATGAGGACGACAGCACCTTCACAATAACTGTTGATCAGAAAACCTTCCATTTCCAGGGTGAGCTGAAAGAAGAGATTTTTTTTTCTCTTCACAGTCCCAACTGCTTCTTTCCTTCTCCTTTGGGTTGTTTGCTGGACGACTAGAATGGTTTTTACAACTGATCCTGTATGAACGCGTGCACAGGAACATTCTGGATGAAGTGGTACTGCAGGTTAGGCAGGGATTTAATCGTATCTGCAGCGGATACAGATCTCTTTGAAACGACTGTGGATCTGGCTGCAATTGGAGATTAAAAATTTAAATGATAAAAATCAGTGAAGGGAGAGAGTAATGGGCTGCTGCTGCTGCTGCTGCTGGCTTGTGTTTACAGAAGGTTGCTGATCTTCTTTATCGAGGAGTATGGCTCTGCTTTTCTGCATGAGGAGTCTAAAGACTGATTGTGAAGGTTGCAGTGTTTGTCCCTGTAAAACTCAAAATGTAAATTAAAGTGAAGCTAGTGGCAGCCTTTGGCTTAAAGGTTTTGCTTTGCTTCAAGAACTACAACTTTGCATTCATTTCATCTGCATTCTGTGTCTTGTCTGCCAGCCGTCATTTCTCTGCTATTATCCTTTCTATAGTTAATAACACCAAATGCCATCTGCCACTGCTATGTTTCGGCATTGCATGCTATGGTTCACCGGTAGAAAGGGTAAGGTACTGGATGATCATTCTCATTTCATCTTGCTTTGAAAACTCTAAACCAGCAAATAAAAGTCAGTTTTAATGATCCTAATGTACTCTCATCTGTTAGGAGTGTCTGTTAGCTTTGATACTAATGTTTTTGCTATTTTGCCTATTGAGAGTAATCTCTATTTTATGTTTAAAGCAGTCCAAGAAACTTAGAAATTGAGAATATTTGCACTTTTTCTGAACTACAAGTGACAATGCACTGTGATAGATGCTAGGTATACCAGGATGAAAAAATAATAGTAAATCAATTAATTGTTTAAAAATATTTTGGTTATGAAGTCTAACAGTGACCAGATATGTTATGTGAGATGTTCAGACAGCTATTGTCCTTCTGTATTAGGATAGTATATTGCAGTAATTTTTCTTCATTGTCTTGTTTAAGAAATTGGCACATAGAAATGAAAGATACAGCTTATATATAATAAAGACAAGCCAATGTACTCACTTGTGATATCTCTAATGCTTTTAGGAAAAAGCATTGTTAGAGTATTTATTATGTTTGGTCATATTCTTTACTCAGAACTGATTTTAACTAATAATGCTGTCTTGAAATTTTCTACTACTTTTAATTTCATAAAACATTTAAAATCTTAGTTTAAGAAAGTCCATGACCTTTATTTTTAGGTTCACTATGTCCTGCTTGTCAGTGAAACCAGATAATACCCACACCCCGGAACTCTTTACTTGAATGAACTTGAATACTTTAATGTATTTTAAGTAGTAGCTGCTAGATGCAGGTAAAGGCTGCACTATGAAATTCTCTCCTCTGCAGTTACTAAGGAGACATCATCTTTGGACCTCAGAAGCTGTATTGTTTGCCTGGTTAAAGGAGAGAAGACTCAGGCCTCTAGAGCAAAGGCACCTCTACCTTTTCTGATTTAAATTATTTATGTTAAACTGATCTTCCCTTTAACATTTCTATATTTATGTTGTTTGCTTGTAAAACAAGTGATTCCTTTAATGAATCATTTAAATGACAAGGATAAATAAGTGTTATATGTATTTTTTAAATGGATATTTAGTTCTGAGACTGTTGGATTCATTAGTTTATTTTTTACTGTAATAGTTTTGGAAGTCTCAGACAACATGAGATTATTTGGCTTTTGCAAAGAACCCTAATATTCTTTCTATTCTTGGACATAATAAGAGTTATTTTGCATTCATAGGTCCTTGCTCATAAGTTTGCTGAAAAATTGATGAAATTTTCAATGTCTAAGATCTTATCTTCTTGATTAGAATTGAAAGCAAGTTAAGATGGATGTACATTAGCATGTGTGTAAATGTGTTGACTTTTTCAAGTTTAATATAACAGAATTTTTTGAAGCGAGTGAAGTATCAATTGAGACATCTATAAAACAAATTCTGCTCACTGTCAACTCTTAAAGGGAAAGCTAGAATTTGTTTAGATCCACTAATTTGTTCCAACATCTATTTTGGACATTACTCTAAGTTCTGGGGATACAGTAGTGAACAAAATATAAAATTCCTCACCTCTGTAGCATCTAATCTGGTAGAGAAGAAAGCCAATAAATAAGATAAATTGGTAAAATATAAGGAAATAAGACAGTGGCAAGTCCTAGGGAGGGAAAAAAAAAAACGCAGGAAAGGAGAAAATGAAATAGAATTGTGAGGTTTTGTGTGTGTATATTTGTAGGGGGTGGTTTAGAATTTTAGATGGCTGGGGAGACTCACTGGGATGATGCCTTTCAGTGAAAGACCTGAAAGAAGTGAGGGAACAAGCTTATATGGCTTTGTTGGGGATGATGGTGAAGAGTAAATCACTCCAGGCAAAGGAAACAGTAAGTGCAAAAGGGTGTGCCTGCCATATTTGAAGAACAGCAAGGAGGCCAGCTCTGGTTGGAGTGCGGATCACCAGGCGGAGGGTAGTATGAGACGATGTCTAAGAGGGAACGTTTTATGAGGCCTTATATGGCAACAGTAAGGATATTGAATTTTACTAAGATAAGAAGCCATTATAGATGGTTTTAAGCAGAGGAGTGACATGATGTGATTTTTAAACAGTTATCACTCTGGCCACTGTTTTGAGAATAAAATGCAAGAGGCAGGAACAGAGCAGAGAAACTAATTAGGAGACTAGAGTAATCCAGAAGAGAGATGATAGCAGCTCCCATGTGGTAGCAGTGGGAGTAGAGAGGTAGTGAGAAGTGGTTGAATTGTACATGTGTGTTTAATCAACTCTATTGAGGTATAATTAATATACAATAAAATGTATACTCTCTAAAATTCAGTGAATATTGACAAATTTACTTACTCATTAAGCTACCATAATCAAGATCTGGAACATTTCTGTCACCCAGAAGATTCTTTTATTCTTTTGTCAGTCTATACTTCCAGCCCCTGGCTCCAGACAGCAACTGATCTACTTTCCATTGCTAAAGATTAGATTTTTCTTTTGGAGAGGTTCACACAAATAGAACCTTTCAGTATGTACTCTCTTTTGTCTGGCTTTATTTTAGCTTAGTATGTTTTAGCTCGTCCATCTTGCTGCATGTATTGGTAGTTCCTTTTATATTGCTAAGTAGTAGTCTGTTGTTAGATATTATATTTTTTTTTAAGGTTGTACTGTAGCATGTGAAAGAAAGACAGTAGGAAGACAGATGACACCATATTTTTGACTTGAGTGAGACTGGAGTTGCCATTAACTGGGGTGGGGAACCAGTTGTGTGTGGGGGACAGGTGGGCATTGGGAGCTTAGCCTTGGGCATGCTTATAATCAAGTTCTAGATGCCTATCAAATGTCCAAATGGAGATGTCACGTAGGTAATTGAAGTGTGGCATTCAGGAGAAAAGTTCAGGCTGAAATAATAAATTTGGGGGTCATTGGCATATAGATGGTATTTAAGCTGTGAGAATTTGGGAGGAGTATGGAGAGAAATTTGGGAGGAAGTATGACTTCCCTGGTGGCTCAGATGGTAAAGCGTCTGCCTACAATGTGGGAGACCCAGGTTCAATCCCTGGGTTGGGAAGATCCCCTGGAGAAGGAAATGGCAACCCGCTCCAGTACTCTTGCCTGGAAAATCCCATGGACAGAGGAGCCTGGTGGGCTACAGTCCACGGGGTCACAAAGAGTCGGACACAACTGAGTGACTTCACTCACTCATGGAGAGAAAAGAGAAGAGGTCCAAGTAATGAACTCTGGAACACTCCCAACATTCATTTAGAAGGCACGGAGAAGAAGTGGAACTCGCAAAAGAGATTGAAAAGAACCAACCAAAGAGGAGGAGGGAAACCAGGTGAATGTGGTACCCAGAAAACCAAGACAGGAAGTGTTTCTTGGAGAGGTGAGAGGCATCTGCAACTGTGTCAGATGCCCTTGATTGAGAAAGTTGAGGGCTGAGAAATGATCACAAGATTTAACAATTAAGTCTATTGATAACCTTGAGAAGAGCAATTTAAAAGTAAGAATATAGACAGTGCTTTTAAGTTGTGCTATAAAGGGAGGGTGAGAAATACAGTAGTAGCTGGGAGAGGGAAATAAGTTTTTTTAAAGATACGAGCAATAATGACATGCTGTTCTTATGCTGTTGGTAGTGACTCAGTAGAGAGGGAAAAGTCGATGATGCAAGAGAGAAAAGGGAGAATTATTAGATTGGTGTTTTAGAGACAGCAAGACAGGATGAGACCTAACACACAGGGAGGGTGTTGCGTTTGGTTCAGAGCATAGACAGTTCATCCATAGTAACAAGAAAGTCAGGTCTATGGTATATATGTCGCAGGCTGTTATCGATCATCTTCATTTCCACTGTGGTTTAACTCTCTAGCTGACCTACATGTCCTGTATCCTGAAATATATTTTGTTAATCATAAAGAGGACTGGTGCCATGAAGAGAACAAACTTTCCTGAAACAATAGGTAATTTTTCATTATAATGATTCTCAGTTCTGGTAGCTTGATATTTCAGAGTAGCTACAATTCTAAAGAGATATCATAAAATTCTCAAAACAAAGTTAATTTAAATTAACTTTAGTTTTGAGAAAAAAAATACTCCCTTTTCCCTTTTAAGGTAACAATTGAAATTACAGTCCTTGCATGTTAGAGCTTTACCTGGATTTGAAAACTACAGCTTCATTCTGTCATTTTTCAGAGATTAAAATGAAAATGATTGCCAATTCATCTTTATAAACTGGCTCTTCTGATAAGAGCAAAAAATGATTCCTTTTTCCATCAGTCAACCAGAGTAGTTTGCATTTGGATTCTTAGCTAGACATTGTGTGGACTGCAGTTTTGGTATCAATTAGACTGGCTGTTGAGTTCAGACATTTAATGTATGAATAGTGTGTGTAACTCCCCGTACTCAGAACTGTATA